ACCTGATGCTCTGAAAGGATGACGGCTTTAAGTTTTTGCATAAAATATCAGGAAGACTTTGGCCAGCTGTCATAACTGATGTCCGCAAGTTATCAGTCTATTATAGCGCTCACCACAGAAATCAAATTCTAGAATTATGGTATACGGGACCGGCGGTACTAGGAGTTATAGAGATGGGACATTACCTGGGTGGAGAAGAGAAAATAAAATAAAATAACGAACAAAAGCAAATCCAAAACATGCGATAATTGAAAAGTAAATTGAAGTAAAGAAAATTAACAATTAAGTAAATTGATCAAATTAATTAATCAAATAGTAAGCTAAAAATAAGCAAATAATAGTACTGCCAATCGCGCATTACAGAATTATGGGGTTTGGTTTCCGTAGTGAGCCCTACTAACCGTTCCCGGAACTAAAATTGTTTACACAGCCTCTTGACTTGATATCACTTACGTAGTGCGTTTGTCCACCCGTCTGAAGGGAGTATCTTCGTAATTGGCGGAACCATAGCGCATAAGGGTGGTTCAACTGCCGTGGACGAGTTCATAGTGAGAGAAATGCGCTGGCGCCAACGACCGTCTCTGGCCAATCGACGTCTAGCTGCCACCTCCGCAGTTGTGAAGGTTGATGACGCGCTTAAAGGTGGTGAAGAGAAAGCCCTGATTGCCGTTTTCGGTGGATGTTATAAGGCGGGCACCACCTGGAACTATCTTGCCGCCTGTGAGGTATTTGAAGTCAGGCAAAATAGGTGAGAAGACTTGTGATGACGAGTATCTGCTTTTGCCCAATTCGTTGTTCTACTCATTCCACTTACCTGTCGTAGTGGCCTGGTCGCTTTTGTTCTTGTGGTCCAGTCTTCTCAAATATATTGCTATAAGGGCTACTGCGCGTAAGTCTGTGCATTTCTTGACCACCCCTTTGCCTTTAATACTATCCCACGGCATGTCCTCCCCAATAAAACGTCTTGTTGCGGCTCTTCCAGCTAGGCTGTTTCTTAGTCTGATACTATTTCGCTTGCCATACTCAATTCATCCGATGCGGCAAGCGAAAATCCACGAGGCTTTTCAATGATGCCGGAGATCTTCAAAACTCTATCTCATCTCCCCACCTCTTCTCCCTCCACACTGATGATCTACGATCGGTTAATGAATGTTTGAATGTAAAATATGCGGATGATATTTGAGACTGGTCATCCTCTAAAACGTCTGACACATTTTCAGATACTGAAAGATGACCTGGGCTACGTATCAGTATAGTCGTTAGCAAATGATCTTCTGGTGAATAATCAGAAATCAGTCTAAGTTGTTTTCCGATTACGAGCCTTTTCCAGTCCTGAATACTTACACACATAACCTTGGTGTTACTTTTACATGTGATTATTCATTTGCTTTTCGTATTGAAATCCTTCTCATTAAAATTCGTAAAATTCTATGTGACATGTGTAGGTTAATCGCTTATCTAACAATGTAGAGACGTCTGCATTCTCACAACTCACTCTCTACTGCTCTCCGATCATTTTTCCAGCCTTGCTTTGAAAAAAAAACTTGTTGATGTTCGAATCTTCAGGTGTAGGTGTTCCTGATGACTTTTTGATTTATTTCTGAAAATATTCCCATGCTTGATTTGAGAAGTCAATTTGGCAAACACAGTGTTTTCAGCAAATCATCATCAGGCCACACATTTGCAGGAGTAATTAAAACTGTACAGTTATACAGGGTTAATACATGTAGTCTGATTACAATTCATCGTTTACGCGTCGGCCGCATGGCGGAGTCGGCGTGTAGAGGTTCTTGTGTTGGGGGAGAAGGGGATAAGGAAGGGAATAGGGTTAGGTTGTGAGCGATGATCAGAGGTCAGATACACGGAGGAATAATTGCTGCAATTCGCACGAAGTCATCGACTGTCACTAGGGTGTGGGGGC